GTTTACTTTAACGTTTTTTTATCAGGTAAATCAAGGGTTTCGTGGTTACATTGACAACTTGATGAATTTTTGATGTAATTATTTCATTCATAAATTTAAAGTAGAAAAAGTTGTTGTTTAATTTTAATCCCAATTTATAACAAAAATTTCAGAATTGTAATTGCTGACGATGTTTAGTTACAAAAACTTGTAACTAAAATAGGTACCTATATGGATATTAAAATTTTGATCGAGTAGATACATCTTTGTGATTAGAAAAGAGTTCATTAAGTTAGACATCAGAATCTAATTTTGCCTCAATTTTGCCCTTAGAGCAACTAATGCGAAGCAGTTTGCAAATTACAAAGTTAAAAAAAAATGTTTAATCAAACAAAAAGGTTCCGGCTTTGATCTTATTTTTCAGCAGAGCGGAGCCGCGCAATACAAAAGAGTTATTGAACCTCACGTCACAATGAAAAAACCATTACAATAAAATCGACAGCCCCCATTTTCTATTTTTCCCACGGCGGCGTTGTACATAAAGAAATGCAAGACTCGCGTACTTTGCGGTAATGGAAATTGGACTAATTGCCTCGCCATAACTGTAATTGCTTTTCGAAAACATTCGAATGGCGGAGCCGGTTTAACAGGGAATTTTATTTTTGTAAATAGAACATTCCGATTTCCGGGGGTTCGGGCGAACACGCAACAGTTTCATTCAGGCAAAAAAAGAAGCTGGACAAACTAAGCGAATCCCAAGGTATTTTCCAAGATGAACTCTTTTCAATTGCAAAACAGATTTACTACGAGCTTTGCGAATAAGCGGGTATATTCAAAAGTAAACTTTATTTTAAAACCCGTAAGTTTGGGTCGGGATTTTGTGTTGTACTGGAATGGAACAAGCAGTATATATCGTCAATAACTTCAACTCAAGATGCATTTAAATTAGATTACAGGATCAGAGATTTATTGTAAAGGCAAATTTATCCGCAAGGATTCGCAGTAGGTACATACCAGGACTCTTCGATAGTCAAATATTTATACAATATATTTATTAATCAATTCAAAATTGAAATTCATAGTTATTTAAATCCCTGTGATTGGCAATTTATTGAGTCCTCTATGGAGCAGGTATAATGAAGCAAAAGCATATGCTGTTAACTTGTTGACTAGCACGTAGGAAACTAATTAATGATAGTCGCAAATTCACATACATTTATCATTCAACATGAGCAAATTGACGATTTCGAGCAAGTCGATTATTTAATTATGCCCCTCTAATTACACATATGTAGGTGCTCCTCGTGATCGCATTAATTTATTTGCAATACAGGTAAAATTTATACCCAGAGGATCACATAATTCCAACAATTAAGTAATTGAAATATATAGCGTTCACCTATACATATGTATTTTTTTCTACTCGTATTGTATTAGATGGTTTATTTGACCTACCTAAAACCAGTGACCCACTTTTTAATAAAGTAGAATTTCTGATCTGAAGTCAATATTAGTTTATTAGCGATATTTTGCACAAGACCGGCATGTAACATGTAGTAACGTGCAGCTGTGTAGATATTTCGTTTCGATTAACGCAGTCTCATTTAAAAGTCAATTCGGCATAGTTCACTAGGTTCCAATATCATCACTTCTGTTAGTTTTATCGGCTTGTGTTCCAATTAAAGCTCATCCCGCGCTCCGGTGATATTGAAGTTTATTTATTCAGTAGAGTTCCAATAGCCGGATATTGAAATGTGCCAGAGCATCAATGGATTGATTGGTAATTGACACAACTGGCTTTGTTTGCCCAACTCCGTGTAGCACGTCAGCTAGAAATAACAATCAAGGTTGATCATTTCTAAAGTTTCTGAATCGAATTTCCCTAGCAATTCGTTTATTATACTGAAAGCTTTTAGAGGTGAGTTGTACCTACTAATAATTGAGTCGAATATGGATCGTTAACCTTATTTATTGGTCTAAAATTTCGAAACTGCACATGAGTGAGAAGAGCGTTTATGTATTAGGCAAGCAATTTAAAGTTCTCGTAGTTAATAGTTTTTGTGTCGAATTGCTGTTTACTAATAAAGCTCAAAGGGTATAAAAGTTATTATGACATATATATATTTTACTCAAACGAAAACACGATTACTCCATTAATACTAAAACAAAGAATCAAATTGGATGAAAGTAGATACGGAGTTTTCCAAGTGGAAAATATACTTCATAACTTTTACTCATTAAATGCTATGCCTGATATTTTTCAAGTTGATCGAATTTACCTTTTCGTTCGTCACTCCAAACTTCTAAATTAAACAAAAAAAAAAGAGTCGGGCGTATCGCTCTTGCGGAATGGCGACCCTCCCGCTTTTTAGACCATTACACGTGTATTGAGTACATTTTTCAATCAAGTTTCACAAAGGGAGAGCTTTAAGTGTTGTTGATCTGACAAATGAGTAATCAGATTCTTTTTATGTCTATCATTCGTTTCAACAGTAAATGTACACAAAACATTTTTCTTTTGCTAAAAGTCTCCATCTGAATTGCAAATTCGCCGTGGAACGATCTATTACCGACCGCTTTGTAGATACTTAATGGTAATTTAATGATGGAAATTTGCTGCTCTTTTTGCTACTTTCGCAGCAGCGTATCTAAAGCTCGCATTGAAACGATCAAAATTCATCAGGGATTTTTTTAATCGTATATTTTAATATAAATAATTGATTTTTTACTCAACTTTTTGTCTATATGAAATGTAAAAGAAGAATGTTCATAATTGTTTTAATTATTACTTCAAAAGTCACTAATTCCCTAATTCCATTATTTTCTTCTTTATCCTATATTATTCCTTATTCATACTTCTTTTAATTACTTTCTTAAAAGTTAGTAATTTCCTAATTCCATTATTTTCTTCTTTATCCGACAATTATTCTTCTTTCGCAGCTCTTTCAATTATTAGGCCGTATTCATAAGAAGAAGCATAACCTATTGCTTCAAAAAATGAAGGAATTGCTTCACGGTATATGCGTAAAAAGAATAGAAGGAAGAGAGGTTTTGCTTCGGGGACCCTGCTTGCTTTAAAGCAAAAGGTTTTATGGTTTTAAAACCTTTTTTTCATATCTTTTGCCTCTACCTTTTAATTCAAAGTAAATGCTTCATTATTTTAACAAATATGGACTAGTGTCTTAAATGTCACTAAAGTCCATTATTTTCTTCTTTATCCTACAATTATTCTTTTTTCACGCTTCTCTCAATTATTTTCTTAAAAGTCACTAATTTTTTAATTCCATTATATTCTTCTTTAACCTATAATAATTATTCCCTTTAATCTAATTATGAGTATACTATTTAAATTGTCCTTTAAATATGCACAAATAAATCATATCCATACATGAATAATATATTAGATTCACTTTTTGATGCCTCATGATTATTCCCTTATTTATCGTTCCCGAATTTATCATTCGAAATTAGGGAGAAATGGAAATTGTCACATTTCAATTACCTACGTCTCGTTTGGCAATTGCTAATGCACGTTCATCGCAGAATGCTCTTCTGTGTGTGTGCGAATATTCCGGATTTCCGAATGAAAGTAACACCCAGCAGATCAGTCAGCCGAGGAAATGGCGTCGAAGTTTTTTTGTCACATTTGATCGATGGGACTCGCAATTTCTCTTTGCACATATTTCACCCAGAGATAGGTAATTTAAGTTTATTACTTAGGTACATTTCGGGTTTAATTTTCTGAAATAATTTATTTAACATAATGGCATTCTCGCTCAAGAGGAGGAAAGAATATATCGATTTAATTTACGCAATTATCGAAGGGGCAAGTCGATTTCAAAGTGTATTTTCTGGTGATTTATGGATTGTTGTGCTCATGAATAATATTAGCTGGCACAATAGCGTTCCTCACACGGATAATAGTAATTTTTCAATAAATCTGCATTTTAACAAGGGAGCACCAAGGAAAATTCCAATTCGTTTTGCTCCCCTTTTTTTCGTGACTGAAGTATCCCTCACCGAATAGTAGATGAAATAATTCAATTTTTCCAATTCAGTTGAAAACTTTTTGCATTTTCAATCGTTTCCATTTTTCTCCAAAGACTCGTTTCGGAGATTGTTAAATATAGTCGAATTTTCTGATACATACGTGACGAATTCCGATTGTATCTGTTCTGGTATTTAATATAAAGTGTTGAAACGTATTCTACGTCTTGCCAGCCGTGAGCGCGAAAATTCGATAAAAAAATACAATAAAATACAATGAAAAATCGGATACGATTTTTAACATTTGTTACACTACAGAGTTGAAAAATAATAGAACAGTAAAACAGAAAAAAAAACTTTGAACTGTTGCGGAAATGTGGTAAAAATGATTTGTAATCGAACACTCCCCTGCATGCGACTGTCTTTGAATGCTCCTACTACGAAATTTAATCTTTCCCCAACTAAAGATCCATCCATTAAACAGCTTGTCGTTTTTCCAGCTCGGGGTTATTAATTTTAGTAATTACATTTTCTGTAATTTTATCAACCTTAAAATGAATTTTCCGAATACATGTTCGCGCGTCTCCCATCTCATAGTTAATAACCAATTTACTTTAATTAAAACGAGCTTTTATAGTTTACTTTCCTATTAACTAGTAGTTAAATTTCCCATAGCTATTATTCAAGCGCGAAGCGTCGTACCCGCGCGTTAGTCTTTCTGTCGAAAATTCATATTGATTTTTCTCAAAATTGATTTTATAATGTAAATTCTGAACCGTTTTTCGTTTTATTTCTCAATCATATCTACATTTGCTTAACAAATTAGGTAATTTAACAAATTCTAATGCAATAGAATATTTCTTCGGTTGTTATTTTAATTATTTTCGAGCACATTTTAAATAACTAAACCATATTATACATTTTACATTCAATAGGTACTTAGCTTGTACCTCCTCAAAATTCCCTTAAGTGCGCCGTTTTCCTCACTACAACTCCTGAATACATCATTATGCGGATATTTTACTTTAACTCACCCATCCTAAATCCCCTAGAACTTCGCATTTCCTGACAAGCATTTGAAAGGAAATGTAGCGAGACAAGTTACCAAGGTATGAAATGAAGTAATATTTCGTAAGTGCCCCTTGATTATTATCATTCTACGTGGAAATCGCGCGTCTCCATCAATAATGAGCATTTCGAAACGGATTTCGCTTAAAATATGTATTTTCATTTTCGCGTACCGTACCTTTATTTGTAAAACGTATTGTTCGAATACTACAAAAGATTTTTAATCAAAGAAATACGAGATTAATTGAAAATTTACAACGATACAGTGTGTATATCTTTGAATAAAAATAGTAGGTAAAAATGTCCAATTACTAATAGGGTTAAATTTATAATTAATGAGGAAATGAGTGTTCCTAATGAAAGGGCGAGTCCATCGAACATTCATTATAAAGTGATGCACTTTATTCTACAAACCAGCCGTATAATTTAGTCATCTTTGAAGGTCCAGCGGGCACGCGTGCGCTCCTGCGAGGGTCCATACTGGCGATTATGGAGCAATTTCGCGCTACAGTCAGCATTCAAGGAAGCGGTTCATTTGCGGAATACCAAATAGGGAGTTCATTTATTGCAGCAAAACTGGATTTATATAGCATTAACGGGACGGCATTGGCCATTATCCAGTAAGCATTTTACGTAAATATTCGCGGAGTTAGTTTTCCACAGGTCTGGCAGTAAATTCCATTATATTATTTCCTTCAGCGATAATCGCAAGGGTAATTAAATTCAGGAGAGCTACGTAAATTCCGGACCTCGTTTATTGAAATATGCTAGTAAAGAAAATGTGAATTATTTCGTGCAATTTATCCCGGTATATCGATTTTTTACGTTGTGTGCATTTTGGTATGAGATGAGTTAAAACCTAGATTCGTCTTAGGTGAAAAATTCAATAACAATTTTTATTGGGAATGGAAACCGATCTGTAATATTTCCCGGATCATAAACCAAAAGCACAACCGCACACCGACACCGGCTCCGGTTCAAAAGAATATAAATTTTAGTTATAGGAAACCCATCCGCCAATTTTTTTAAAAATATTCTTTTCGTAGGTATATATTACAATGGGGGTGTCGATTCCCGAAACGATTTCCGAGGGGAGTTTTCTAGCAGAGTTTTCTTACTTAAATTAAGCTCAAATTTCTCGAATGCAAAAAAAGGTAAAACCGAAGTAGGTATTACACTGTATTTTGAGTGATAGTAATAAAAGTAGGTATTTGGGCTATTTAAAATTTTAAAATTAAATGTTCGACCCAATTGCATAATTTAATTACCTTTTTAGTTTTTAATGAAAAATCTACACTTCACATGCATATTTTCCCGTGCAATTTCGAGCACACTCGCTGTCTTGTAAATATTAACAGTTTCAATTTTGCTTTGAAAAGAGTTGTAGTAGGCATTTGATGTCGCAATAACGAAAGCACTAAAAAATGAAAATGAAGCAAGCGATAGCTAAACGAAAAAAAAAACGAATACTGCAACAGCAAGGGCTGAAGTATCTAAAAAGAAATTTTCTCCGTTTTGTGAAACAAACGGTTCTAAATTATTTCAATGGCATGCCAGAGACAGCAGGAATGAATGGAGGCGAAGAAAAAAGAAAATAAGTGCCAAAATTCCTTGCTAGTGCGCGCTGCCATCGGATGTTTGCGGAAAATTAGTCGTAAATTAGTGAAAATAAATTTCACCTATCTACAATGCAACCAGAACGAATGCAGACCAGTCCTGCGCGATTTTAAAACGTTAAATAAATTCTAAGAGCATTGCGAAAATCAATTGAAAAATGTATACAAATTATAAATAGGAATTGTAAATGAGGAATTTTGTATTAAACGCTCCAGTTTTGATGAATTTCTTTCGGTTTGCGTGTTCCATTAAGGCCGCATCGGAAGGCCTAAGCCGCTCAACGAATTTTTATCGAATTTTCACGACTGCTCTGCTTACAACGAACGTGTCGCGTGAAAAACATCACCTGCTTTTGATCAGAGCGTAAATACGTTCTTTTCATTTAAATGTCAATAACAGGTTGGGATTTCGCGATTTCAAATAAAACAGCCGCCTGCAATCTAGCTCAGGGAAATCTTAAATGAATTGTCAAATAATGAACTGCTGGTTAAGTGACAAAAAAAAAGGTATTTTTTTGAGGAAATTATTAATGCGAGAGATATTTTCGTATAATCTTTCCAAAGTCAGCGCAAAACAGCTTTTATTTTTGTATGCTGTATATACTATAAATTAAAATATTTACCGACATAATATTTAATAGCTATTTGAAATACTGCACATGAAAAAATTATCTCTCTCCTATGCACGGGAAATTTTGAAATATTTAAAGCACTTCAATAATTTAGGTCAATAATTCAGTCCTGCTGGCCTAATATCCCTTAAGTGAATATTAATTCCATATATTTCCACTAAATGAAAATTTCTCTTCTGTGTAAAATATTTTTGACCCTATACAGACTTCTCAGATAGTAGGCACCTATTTATTCATTAAAATTTTAATAATATTTACGAATACATGTCCTTTATTAAAACAATATGCGTGTAGGAGCTTGGTTTGACTCAAAAAGCATTCGGGACGAACCAATTAATTAGTTTGTTGAGCAGCTATACATATAAAGCATAGATTGAGCTTGCGCAACTGCCATCCTACGCTTTTGTCTGCTCTGTAACACATTGAAAACATCCATAAACAGAATAGACGTTATTTAACAGAAGCTAGTGAATGTCGAATTGTGTTTTGATAATGACAGAGAACGTACTTTGTTCATCGGAATTACTAATCAGCAAATTTCCGCGGAGACTCCTTTAATTTACGACTTATCTTCGGCGGAGTTTCGATCAACATAAATTCCAGAATTGAAAATTTAGATTAGAACCGACCATTCTTTGGGCGTAATTAATGAAAATCTCGCGTCCGTTCTCGCGGGCCTCCAGACAATGTACAAATTTAGTTGCGGTAGCGCTCGCAAAGAGAGAGAGTTACTCGCCACATAAACCCCGGTATAATAAATTTGCATTCATCGACAGGACTTCTCTGTAATTAGATAGAGAACAGGCATTGTTTGACAAGGGACCATTTATCACGGACCGAAACTTGAACGGGGGCCCCATTGTGACTGCAGATAGGCCACGTCATTCCCTAATGCTCAATTAACTTAATGCAAAATGGAATTTTTTATTCCGGAATTTCACATAAATTTAAAAAAAACCAACGTATACACGCACTCTCTGATGTTGATTTTGTATTTTAACTATTTAACCTATACGAAAATTATTACCTGTTAATTATTAATTGCCTACAAGCAATACATAATTAAAATTTATATTCATAATTAAATTTTCCAATAGTTATAGTAAAACAAAATATCAATCATTCGTGCAATGTTTCCGTACACGGGAATTCATAAATTCGGCGCACGTCACAACTGTATAACTGCAGATTAAAACGCACCGAAACTTTTTAATCAATTCGCTGCAGTGTCAGGGCGATCAAACGACTTATTGAATCTAATTAAACAGTGAAACCGGATTGAACGTACTGCCGAAAACTAAGCCAATTTCTAACAAACGGCTTGTAATTTTGTGGATAACGATAACTTTGCGAACTATAAATGAGGCATCTAGCTTTAGAGGAAAGTTTACGCTCGTGTTTCCATCGCTATTTCGGAATGTTCTCTGCTCTGTAGCTGACGCGATGTGTCAGGATCAAGGGATCAACGCGACGACGGAAATGCAGGAATAACCGGTCTCTGTTTCCTGCACAAAAAAATATAATTATTAAAATAATACCTATTGATGTGCAGCATGCGGATCCTGCAGACCATAAGAGATACAGCAAGAGATAAAGCATGTGATGATACAGCAAGAGATACAGCAAGAAATAAGCATATGATACAACAAGAGAAATGGCAAGAAAAACAGCAAAAGATACAGCAAGAGATACAGCAAGGGGTACAGCAAGAGATACAGCAAAATATACAGTAATAGATACACCAAGAGATGTAGCAAGAGATACAGCAAAAGATATGTTCTGCAAGAGGTAAAGCAAAAGATATAGCAAGAGGTTAAGAAAGAGATACAGTAAAAGATACAACAAGAGATACAGCAAAAGATACAGCAATGATTAAATGAAGAAAATCAATGCATCAATGTACCAATCAATCAATTTACAAAAAATGTACCAATATCAGAATCTGATAAATGAAGGCATTCTCTATTTGTATATTCCGATAATAATTGAAGTGTTTTCGATATCCCTATTAATAAGTAATTTATGGTTGTATTAAAAATTAAAGTTGTATTTGATTGAAATGTTATAGTAGTTAATAAAGTCTTTGAATATTCACTGAATAATTCGCGCGGTGGAGTTTTCTTTTTTTGCGCGTCGCCAGACTTCGCGAGACATCTATTAACACCGATTTAAAAGGGAAATAGAAGCGGCAACTTTCATTTCCTTATTACCCCGACGAGCTGAGAGGAAACGACGTGAATTATATACGGGCAATTTTCAATCGTCGAAGATTGAAATGTATTTCCATTTCGAATGGTGGGGAATTAAATTCCCATTGGCTTCGTTGAATGAATCAAAAACACTAAATTAGCTAAATTATTTTTCTTAAATGGTAATTTCGTTGCGTAAACGCCGGGAAATTCGCATTTCGTTCGTTTTCCGAGGGCTGTTCAGATTTAACGAGGAAATATAAAGAAACAGAAAAATGTATTACGCATAATAATATAGCTACAGTGCTGTAATTATTATGAGTTGCGAGTTGTATAAGAATTTTTGAAAGAAAATTATTACAGTTTTCACTTTAGGGGGAAGACTAATATAATATTCCTTATTCAAAGAAAAATAAAAATAATTGGACATTAATTTATCATGGTAACTGCAAAGTAAGCAAACAATAGTATTTGTTTCTTATTATCTCCTGGATTATTCTAAGAATCGTTCGTTTTGCTCCATTTTCTATTAA